AGCTCTAGGGAGGTACAAAACAAACTTTTCAGCCTATGTAGTGGTTTAACTTAATTTTGTGCATGATTTTAGCAGAGTATATAGCAAACATAGTAGAAGTTGAAATCAGCTAGAGCTGGTAAAGACTCGGCATCCCCGTTTGCAGAAAATTTTAAAGCCAGTTTTCGTTGCTGGTTGCAGAAGACTGCTAAGTCAAATATATCTGTCGACACTTAAAAAAAAGCATTTATTAATGTTAACTGCTTCTTTAGTTTTACCACACAGCTTTCATTTTAATTATTAAATTTCCTGGCACACCCACTGAAACAGTTGTGCTGCAACTACTTACGCCTAATATCCAACTAGTGAAATAATGACATGTTATGCTATTATTAAGGGCTGCTGCTACTTAGTAGTGATTGAAGTGTTATCTTCTCAAGTATCAAATTGTTAAATCACAGCACAAATAGGAGATATTCTGATTTAATGCACCTTTTCCAGCTCTCTCAACAGGAACAGCTGTTCGCAATGATTTTTTTTAAAAGGGCTATAAAAACAGTATTTCAGCAATTGACGTTTGTCAAATGAAGACCTGTCAGCGCTGGGAAATAATGAAATAGTGCAAAAAACCGTCTGAAAACAAGAAGCCATAATCAAAACTGGACGAAAATAAGCAGCGAAGTTTAGAGTTATTGTATTGCTCCCCCTCCCCAAAGCTGGTTGTTCTTAAGTGGTCTCGCTGCAGGAATTTACTAAAACTCAAGTTTTACTAGATTCTATTTATTTAGAAAGACATTTTCAAGAGAACAGTCGTAGCTAGAAAAAAAAACCAACCATACTCAAGTCAATGGGAAAAGTCCCCCTCGATTTCAGTAGCCTAAAAACCTTACCCTGTGGCTTCAGAAATACCTGCCTGTAGTTTAAGAAAGCCTAGGACAGGGGTAAGGTGGAGCAACTTGGTAACGTGCAAAATCCTGCCCAATCTTATACCTCCCGCCGCCGTTACTTCCCTAAAACAACGGCTCACAGCAGCGTGAACGCTTGATTTCAACCGGCCAAAACAACAAACAACGAGGCAAATACAGAATAAAAGGGGATAGGAACTGGTTCACGTGAAAATGCCCGCTCAGGTAAAAAAGTGAGTTTTATTCCTGTGCCTAAACAAAAAAGGGTTATCCTTTAGATTACTACTACTATAGGGTTTTAACAGCACTCACTTGGCTTAACCCTTTGCATTGTTTCAGATCCTCCTCGATTTGTTTCTTTCAGAAAAACTGCACTTTAAAAGGGGAAAAAAAAAAAAAAAAAGAAAGAGCACTGCAGCTGCAGTCTGCACGGCTCGCTGGGAGTTCCTGGGGATGTATGTGCCACTCCTGAAGCAAAAAAAAAAAAAAAAAAAAGTGATGTTTTATCTGTAGAAGAAGTTACATTTTTTTCTGAACTTATTGAATTTTTCAAAGATCAGCATGAAGAGCTCTGATTAAATGCTTGCTTCAGCGTTTTAAAGGCGCCTTGTGTCCCCGTTGCCTAAGGAGGTCGTACGTTACGATTGCGCTGTAAACATCAGATTGTACCGAATTGGCTCTGCATACCATGCCGCACGCACAAAGAGGCAGTCAAAGGGCTTATCTGGCGCTTATCGACTAGTTTATTTTTCATGCCAAGAAAAGCTATATATATATATTTTTTTTTCTCCACAAGAGCAGCTGCTACTTTGTAAATAATTTAATGGCTTCTGTTAAGTAGAGCTGTCAATTTTGCAACCAATATTAAAAGCAGGTTTTCATTTTGCCCTGCGATTGCATGTTTTGAAATGCATTTTATCCCTGGAAGCCCAGTGGTGGAGATTTCAGAATGGAAATAGCTTCTGATTTGCAGACACAGATCCAACAGAGAATAGATACAGTTAAATAACGACGCATAGGTGAGCAGCGAAGGCGCAAGATCTCATTGCCGGTGTATCGTGTTCAGAGAGCAGGATGCTCTCTGAAAGGAGAAAGCAGAAAGAAAACTTTCAGCGGACTTCTAAAGAAATGCATTTGGCTATTTCAGACAGGTGCTCGATGTAGCAACAGCCGCTCTCAGCAAATTTTGGAAATAAGATATGCGCATTGTTCTGTTTTTCCTGCAATAGTATCCTAACAGTAACCATGACAAATAGGATTTTTGTAGAAAAAGATTTTTTTAGCAAAAAGAAATGTTTTTTCCAAAGGGAAAATAAAATTCATTTTATTGAATCCGATAAGTGATTTTTAAAATGAAATAACAACCCTAGCAGAGATCCCAGCTGTCAAGTTTTTAAAATTCAGATTCAAAACCCCAGCTCCTAACACGACGACCAAGACCCGAGTTAGAATCAAAAACAGAGAGGGTTTATTCTGCAATAGCTAAAGGAAGATCTCAGACTACCTGAAGGTGAAACCTTTAGGTACAACTTGCGAGCCCTCCAACAGCAGCCCTTTTATTCGAGGCATGGGATAAGTTGCCATTGGTTTGGGGGTTCTGTTTTTTAAATTGTGTTCCATAGCACCCTGCTCTCAAGGGACACAGCCCAACGCCCCACAACCAAAACGTTATTTCTTCAGCCCCTAGGGAGCTCCTAGCAGACGGTTTTGAGCCTTTAAACCGTTTTTGGCATCATCTGTTATACTGCAACACTGCAGCTCTGCGCCAGAATGGGTTCATTATTAGTAATGGGTTAATTATTAGTAACTTCAAGGGCAGTTTCAGATATTTAATTTAGATATGAAAGTGCAAATCAATCTATTTGCACTCCCTGTGGATGAGAAGCCCCCCCAGTTCCACTTTATTTTCCATTAGATCCCGTAGCACCATTTAACAAGGTGCAGCCGTGCTGCAGCCACAGCTCAAAACCAGCAAAGTCAGAGGACTTGCTTATAAAGTTGTTTTCTGCAGCCAGGTGATGACACATGCATAGCTCATAGCGTTCGTGTTATAAGCATGCCATGCAACTGTTGGCCCAGCCAAACCGTAGCATGCTCTGAGTTACAAAACAGGTAGGTCCCTTCCAGAGCATGAATAAGTCACAGACGCAGGCTAACAGGACCATGGAAAGAGACCAAGTTAAAGTCCTGCTTTATTTCCATTCTCTGTCCATGCTCCTCTTTGGAGATCTCTCAAACTTTTGCGTTCTGAAGTGCCATTGCACCTCGGATCTAGGCCAGTTTCAGACATGGTGCGTAAGGAGAAGCTGTAAAAAGCATATGTTAGTAAAAATTTTGTAAGTTTAAGGGGATAAGTTACACGTGCCTTAGACATTACCGCAGGGGTGGAGAGAAAAAAAAAAAATTACACCAGCTTGACTCATCCTGTAGGTCTTTTGTTTTCTGTATGTGAAAGCTGTGTTGAACCACCTCCCCTGCCCCCGAAAGCTAAAGCCTAGCAAAGGGAGAATCACTTCAGGACCAAGCACTTAAAACGCCGAGAGAGAAGAATGCTTCGGCATATAGTTCTCACTACCAGAGGGAATCAGCGTTCATCCTGCGAGAACCGCGGTGGATTTTGCCTAAACACATAGCAACAGGAATTTTGTCTAGGCCATTTTTCTGACTGCTTTACACACATCAAAAGCAGTTTCTACTGCACCTTTAAGTTAACTGTATTGTTCCCCCTCCCTCTCATTGCTCACTCCACATTAGACTTCAAGAAGAGATCTTCAGAGGAAAGAGAGCAGGAGAAACCTAGCTTACTCATCCTTAATTTGAGTTTCCTAGATATAGGACATTACTCAGCTACAGCTTTTTTCTCTCCTCCTTTTCCCTCTTTGCAGTTTTTATTCCAGACTGAGGAGGAGTTGCACCCAGGCCACTTTATCGCCCCTGCTCATCACAGGGTTGTGCACATGCCTGGAGATGTGGCGCACCTTTTATTGCTTTCAGGGATTTCCTGCATTATTCCGTGTTTGGAAATCAGCAACACAGAGAGCCTCAGTTACTCGAGGAAGCCAAATCCAATCTCACACTTCACCTTCTTTCATGCAGCCCATGTTTGTTAAAGCCCATGTTAAAACAAAGACTGAAAATAGTCTGCAGTGGAGTTAGCCCTTGGAGACTTGGAGACTGAGCAACACTTACAAGTAGATTTGCCCTCCTAAGCTGGTGAGCATCCATCCTGGGTTTCTGACCAAACTGTAAACTAACAGTTTTTTACAGGGTGGTAAAGCCCACAAGAGCATTATATTCTCTGCACTGCCCATGGTGTTGGCATGGGTATCGGGCAGATTAGCTTATATGGGATGCAGGAAGGCAGAGAACAAGAGGAGAAAACCAGGATTAGAAAAGGGAAAAAAAACACAAAAGGGCCTTACGATTGAGAAAAAGATCTTTTACAGTCTTTATCTGTAACAGGATTTTTCCTTAATCCAAACTCTGCTCGCCCCCTGCCCCCCCCCCTTTTTTTTTCTTTATAAAAGGGGTCACACCTAGAATGCACTGGTTTCCCCCTATATTTTTAAGGGGTTAGGGTATTTTCAAACAATGCCCTTCCCCAAAGGGCTCAGCTTACAGCTTAGGAAGCCCCCAGTACGTACCCAGGGTCCTGAAGTCCATTAGCCAGAAAACATTGAGGCAAAGATCAAGGAAAGTCTTTGCTTCGAGAGGAGGTAGCTGCGCAAGGGTGGGGGAACAGTGCAATCAACCCAGCTGCCATCAGGACAGCAGCAGGCAGATATTCACAGAGAGCAGCCTTTGCCTGCCAGCTGGGCCTTCCGTAGGTGACAATTTAGAGTCAGCATTTCCCCCCTATTGTCAAAAGCCAACGCACACGCTTGCCCCTTCCCGAAGGAAACCTCTTTTGGATACCTTATCATAACCAGTTAGCTGCTCGGCCTCCTTTTCAAGGAGAAAAGTCAAGGGTGAAAGCAGGCAGTTTTCCATGCAATTCCGTCAGTTAGGAAAGAGGACAACCGCGTCCTTATTGACACCCATGACGGACAACTGTTGACTTGCTTTGTACTTTATAATTCAGTAAGCCTGACAGCATAACCTGATTAATCTCAACAGAGCTTCTGGGGCATTTAGCCGGAGAAGATGCTTCAGATGAAGCTTGCCTTGACCAGTCTTCAAAGCGCCAAGGGGAACACGACCTCCCTCCTTCTGGTTCGACCTCCAGGCCGTCGGCACAGAGCTCTTCCAGCAGGCCAGCAGCACAGAGAAGGGCTGATGAGCAATGGGCAACAGCTTACTTTCATTGCTGTCAAAGAGGCAGTTTCACAAGGCCAAGGAAAAATTCCCTGTTTCCACAACAGGAAATTGGGGGG